TGTGTGTGTGTGTGTGTGTGTGTGTGTGTGTGTGTGTGTGTGTTGGGGAGGGTGGGTTGAAAGGTGAAGCCCACAGGCTGCCTCCCGCCTTTCGGACTCAGAGTTTCTGCCGGTCAAGTTTGCGGTTTGACGAGCGACAGGAGCCCCTGGCGTTGCTGATTGACTGGCTCCTCACACTAGCCGCCCGGCAGGTCAGCCGCGGAGACATTTGCCGCCGGGCTCTTTCCCAGAATTAGGGGTTCGCCCTTGAGCCAAAATCGCCGCCTCGGGCGGAAAGGGCAGCTTCTGCATCGGAACTGCGGGACCCAAACCTCACTCACTTGGCCCCAGGTAAGGGACGGTCCCTGATCACCTGGGGGTGGAGGTGTCGGGAAGGCCCGAGCAGCCGCCGAAGTGCACGGTCCCGGGGAAGCCAGAGCCGCGCCCGCCAGGGGCTGCGGGGCTGAGGCCGTGCGCCCGGGGCGCGCGGGGAGGGTGATCGGCTCTCTGTCCCACCGCGGCCGGCTGCTTTCCTGTGTCATACAAAGGCTGAGAACCTCACAGCTCTGCCCAGGGCCGAGGCCAGCTTGGCAGGAAACAGCCCGCTAGCGTTGGGACGCACCTGTTGCCGGATAACGCCCCCTGCCTCCCCGCTGCTGCCCTCCCCAGACGCGAGGGCCGGGGTGGGTTCCGGGGGAGCGCAGCCCTGCGACTCCGCCTGGCGGCTCGAGCCCGCTCCCCGCCTGCCAGAGCCTTCTGAATGAGCCCGGAGCCAGGGCCAAGGTCACGGCGCGTTTAAGGCCGGGGCCCCTTTGGGCAGTTGCAGCTTCCGCGCAACTGCGCGCTCTTACTATCTGTTCCTCGCACACTCCCGGGTGGGCGATGGTAGAAGCGGCCTCAGAAATAAACGGGTCGGAGTAAGTCACGCCCTTGAGCTCCTTGCCTTCCCTTCTGGGATCCAGGGCTAATCCCAAGGGACTGAGACAGGGTGCGAGTGAAACCTCAGAGTCTACAGATTCCTTGAGGCAAGGAGTGTGTGGGCGGCGTTGGAGCCGGCGGGTCGAAAACCTCCTTCTTTTGGGCCCTGGAGAGTATCGACCCATTTTATGGAGAGCAAAGTTCTAACTCCCTTACTCACTCTGTCTCCTCTGGTTGGTAATCCCTCCAAGGTGTAGGGAATGGGGGAACTAACAATCTTGGAGAGCCTGGGACTCCTGGAAGTCCTCCCTGAAAATGCTGGCCGCCTGGGGCCCTGGACCACCCGACACTCACACATTGCAGCCTTTCGGGAAAGCGGAGAGCTACTGACTGACGGTGGAGGAGAGGAAGCGCCCAGTCTCAGCCTGGTACTGAGCGGGACCCAGCCAGGGCACGACTTATCCGCCGCTTCTGGTGCTGGCTGCAGAACTGGAGCTAAAAGACCTTTTGGGGAGTCTGGTCTGTGCAAGCAGAGGCCCGGCGCGCGCCCCTTCCCGGCCTAGCGCAGCCGGGTGCTGGGCTGGTGGCTGCCGATATACATCCACCTCTCGGCGGCGGAAAGGTCGTGCACAGTCACTGCGAAAGAGATGCTTCTTGGTTAGACTCCCAGAACCCCAGCCCCTGCCCTTCCAGCCCCGCAAGTAAGCTGTTAAGCTTGAATTGCGAGGACTGCTCCCTCCCCACGCCCTCCTCCCACCCCCACCTCTGCCACCTTCTTGATTAATCTGGGAACAATTTAAACTTCATTTCATATTGCCCACTGAGAAAATTGGAACCTTTTTTTCAGGGTACAAATAACTTTCAGTATCATGATTTTGCTACTCCAATTGTAAACCTTTTGCTCTGCCTAGACTTTGGTACTTCCCTATATCAAAACTGAGATGCAGCATTTTCAGTTTGGGCTTGGGAAAGACAGATGTCAATGCCCAGGGGTCAACAAGGTGACTGGAAGGACGGCGCGGGGGGCGGGGGGCAGGCCTGTACACTGGCCCAAAGGCTGGGAAACTGCTTTTCCTTCCAGTCAAGGGCTCCCTGGGACCCGACTTGATCAACAGGGGAGCCTCAGAGGGCTGTCTTGTGGACGACACCACTCCCCCAGCTTCCGTCTGTCACCTGAGATGGAGTCAGAATATATGCACACGTTCTGGAAACCCCTTTCTCATAAGCAGCTTGGGGCATGCCACTATCTCAGCTAAAACGAACAAGTCTGGTAAATTAGGAAGCATTCTGTTTACTTGGATATTCAGCGTGCGTTTGTACATCAGTCTTTCCACATTCAACCAAATCCGTTTGATTCTTCGTTTCAAGAAACTTTCCTTCCACAGAGGTGGAGGAGGTAGGAGGGTCGGAGGCTAATGTCTAGTCTTCAAGGGCCTTAATATTCTAGCCTTAACGAGAGATGGTTGGTTACTTTCTTTCCTTTAAAGAGAAGTAAAGTCCGATGTAGAAAAACCTTTATTCCAGAGTTCTGTCTCGCTATCTGGCTGGTACTGCCAGCGCGGCCTTCGCTGCATGACTATCTCTCAACGAGACACAGCCTCGCAAAGCGTGCGAACTACAGACCTGGGCCGTACATCCCTCTGCCTTTGGCTGCTCTATTTGTATGACTGGAAACTGATACCTCCTCTTCCTCGCTAGTCTACAGACTCGCAGGGACTTGGCGGCGCAGTCTGAGGCCTTAACTGCCAGAGGTTCCGGGATTGACTGGGTTTCACATTTCCCACCCAGATCCTCAGCCACACCTAGCGTCTGTCTCCAGTTCCTTCAGATCAGGAGCGTGACGGTCCCCAGGTTCTTCTAGAGGCCTCCCTGCGGCTCTCTTCCTTCCCGAGATTTCTGCCTTCCAGCCCCTCGAGCTGCTTAGCTAAAGTGCCGACTGACAAAAACACAGCAAGGGGGAGGAGAGCGATCTGCGCCGACCTCCGCAATCGCACCCAAGGCTCCAAACTCTACGGCTCCTCTTTACCCACCGACACCGCTTTGCGCTGGACCGCAGCTCCCACGCGCGCGCCCACGAGGGGTTCTCCAGGTCCTCTGCTTGTCGAATCACACACACACACACACACACACACACACACACACACACACACACTAACGTAGTTTATTATTCAGCCCTGAACTCCCTCTTTTCGCCCGCCGGTCAGCGCGGGGCAACCTTAGTCCTGTGGACCCACCCGCGCGGCTCGGACTGGCGCTGAGCTACAGGAGCTCCCTGCGCGCGGGCTCAGCGGCTAGAGCCGGCCGAGCGGAGCTCCGGGCGGGCAACTGCCCGACCACCTTCCGCTAGTGCGTGGGTTTGGGGCTGCGGGGAAGCTGGAGCGGAAACTGTCTCTCCCCAGTACTCGGGAACCTTCCAATCCCTAACTCCTTCCCTGTCTCCTAGGCTCCTGCTTCTTTCCCTCCCCTTCCCAATTTCCTCTTCTTACAACCCTAAGGTTTTGTTTGTTTTTCTCAGTTTTAGGCCTAGGAAGTTAGAGAATTGGGCAAAGCTGGAATTCTTTCGGTAATTTTTTTTTAAAACAAAAACAAAAAAGAAGAAATAGAAAGCAAGACCCCCCTCCCCACAACAGTATCAGGGCAAATCCGTCACCAGATATAGGCATCCCATTGAAATCACAACAGAAGGGCCCAACGAACAAAGTCGACAGAATGTCAGTGTGTTGGAAAAGAGACCTAAAGGAGAAAAATTTCGGAGAGCGCACCTCCCAGCCCCCTTTCGGCTCCCTCCTCAGCTCACTCAGGCCTGACCCGGGCCTGCACCTCTGTCCCTCAGATCTTTTCCCACTACATTTCTCTGAATTTGGGAGCAGCTATGAAAGGAAAGAGAGAATGTTTCGATCCCCGTCTCCAAACCCAGAGGAACTCGGCCAACCGCCTGGCCCCGTTCGCTTCCCATCCTTCGGTCCCCTACGTGTGATTTAGTTAGGGAAACTGGGAATGGGGGTGGGATAGAGGAAAGTTTTTTAAAAATCGGGAAGGCGTGAGCTGGAGCAGCGAGTGTGTCTGTTGGAGGGTTTTGTGCCTGGGGGCTCCTAGCGGTTCGGTGCAGAGGTGTCCCAGGGCGGCCCCACAATGAATATGAATAGGAATCCTTGCTAAATGGGACAGCAAAGCGCACCGCCCTGAATGATGGCACGTCATCCTAACCAGCCCAGGATAGATAGGAGGGCTCCTTTTGTCTGTTTTCTCTGCCGCAGCTCTATAAAAGCCCCTCTTTTTCAGCGTGAGGTTAGTTCAAGCACACACCAACTAGCTGTCCAGGAAACAACCTAACCAGAGAGAGGGGAGGGAGAGAGGCGGGGAAAGGCAGTGCCTCTGCTTTTCTTCTCAAGTCTTGCGGCTGAGCAGTGGGCTGCTGGGCTGTGCAGCTTTTCTTTTTTAATTCAAAATTTTCTTTTCTTTGATTTCCCGCCTAAAGCCTCCCCAAGGTAGCGCCACATTCCCTGCAATAAAATGAATTCTGATTCGAGCTCTGTTTCCAGCAGAGCTTCATCTCCGGACATGGATGAGATGTACCTGCGGGATCACCACCACCGCCACCACCACCACCAGGAGAGCCGTCTCAACTCGGTTTCTTCCACGCAGGGCGATATGGTGCAAAAGATGCCGGGGGAAAGTCCCTCGCGGGTTGGCGCTAAGGCCGCGGGCGAGAGCAGCAAGTACAAAATCAAGAAGCAGCTGTCGGAGCAGGACCTACAGCAATTGCGGCTGAAGATCAACGGGCGCGAGAGAAAGCGGATGCACGACCTGAACCTCGCCATGGACGGGCTCCGTGAGGTCATGCCCTACGCGCACGGGCCGTCGGTGCGAAAGCTGTCCAAGATCGCCACGCTCCTGCTGGCCAGAAACTACATCCTCATGCTCACCAGCTCCCTGGAGGAGATGAAGAGGTTGGTTGGCGAGATCTACGGGGGTCACCACTCGGCCTTTCACTGCGGGACCGTGGGCCACTCGGCCGGCCACCCAGCGCACGCTGCCAACGCCGTGCACCCGGTGCACCCCATCCTGGGCGGTGCGCTCTCGTCCGGCAACGCCTCCTCACCGTTGTCCGCCGCCTCGCTGCCGGCCATCGGCACCATCCGGCCTCCTCACTCCCTGCTCAAGGCTCCCTCCACGCCGCCCGCGCTGCAGCTGGGCAGCGGCTTCCAGCACTGGGCCGGGCTGCCCTGCCCCTGCACCATCTGCCAGATGCCGCCGCCGCCGCACCTGTCCGCTCTCTCCACCACCAACATGGCCCGGCTGTCCGCCGAGTCCAAGGACTTGCTCAAGTGAGCAGCGGGCCCGCCCTGCTGCCGCGGACGAGCGGCGAGCAGCGGGAGGGGATGCTGGGCCAGGCCAGGAGCGCAGAGGGAGGCTGGGCGCTAGCCTGGCGGGAAGGCGGAAGCGGGGCCCCGCGGCCACCCACACCCTCTGAGGGATCTCACACCCTACTTGACCCCCGGAGGGAAAGGACCAAAACCAAACTGCAATTTATAGGTGATAGTAAAGGGGGACTCGAACCAGACGTCGTGTGTTTGCATGCATGCTTCTTTTCCCCATGCCGCGCCAATATTTCTCACTGCCATATGCTCTTGTCAAAATTGCATTTGTTGTATAAAGATTGGATCGGTGTAGTTAAAAACTTGTGAAGGGACTTCTGAGTTGGCTGCTCTGGCTCTGTGTTCTCACGTTGGAAAAAGACGACCATCCCTTTTGTGCAAAACAAGTGTAAATATTTCCCTGAGGTGGATGCAATTATGATTGTCACTGTCCTTTCCACAGTTTGTCTAGAGACAATGGAGCGAGCGAGAGAGGTAGAGAGAGAGAGAGATCAAGACTTAAGTTTTGAATATTAGCTCCAGGCCAGGGCCGGACTTCCTCCTATGTGGGTTTTCCTTTCGCGCAGTGTAGGTCAAAAGAATGCATGCAGGCTTCTTAATGAATCTTGTCTAAACATGTTGTGCTGGCCGTGACGCCTTTTTTTCCTTGTAACAAGGATTTATTAGTGAATTCTCCCAAGTACTCCATATATCTGTCTGTGGTTGTATGAAATGAAAAAGGGGGCAGGGTGCAAAGACCCACACTCACGCACACGAGCCTCTTCCCCCACCCCCACCCCTTCAAACTTCATTCCAAACCTTCCTCAGCTGTTCTAGGGGCCCCTTTGCAAACGCAGGGGCTTCCTTTAGTAGCTCGCCCCACCCCCCTTGCTCAGTTATTCTGCATGCGGGGTCGGCTCTCTCTATTATCAGCTTTGAAAACTTGTCGTGGTTTGGGGAGGCGTGCCAATTTTATTTTCCTGAACATTTGCTTGAAATATTTTGTTAGGGCCTTAAAGACAATACCTGTCTTTATTTTTTATATATTCTTGATAACTATGATATATTTATTAATAACCAGTGTTTCTGGATGAGATTTCAAATAAAAAACAAACTTTAAATCCTGGCTTTGCCTTTGCTTAAAATCTTAGAAGATGGGGATAGTGGCATAGGGGAAATGTGAGCCTAGTAAGGTATATCTGGGTGTGATTAAGGGATTTGGAGGGGTGGACGGATGCTAAGATTTTTCTCTGGTCATTTACACGGAAAAGAAGTCAGGTAAATTGGCGTTAATTATTACAACTAAATGTCCTTCAAATGGGACATTGTCCCCGTTTTTAGTCTTATGTTGTTTGAGCTCCTTATTTCTCTGCAGTAATCAGACCCTCATAAACTGAGCAATTGAGATAAAAAAAGTAATCTGGAAGCCCATAGTGGCAGGAAATGAGAGGGAGAGTGATGACTACCCTGGCTGTGCGGGCAACAGACAAGAATGAAGCAGTAAGTTAACTTTTTTTTTTGTACTTTGAATTGGCCGTGCGGCCTTTTCTTTTTAAACAAGTTAAAATCCAGTAAATGTTTAAGAAGTCAACAAAGAGTGGTCCTAAAAAATAATCGCATCCTCACCTCAGTCTCCCCCCCCCCCCGCCCCCGGCTCCCTGGGCAGCGTACCCTGCAGAGAAAGGGAGGGCCACTCTGCTTTGTAAGGTGAGCTCGGGGTGATGCGAACGACCGCCCAAGTCTCTGCGTCTTGCAGATTTATAGCGGGAATTCTCGCTTCTTTCCCCCGTTGGAAGATGGCTGGTCCGATTAATATAATACGATCGGGCGTCTTCTACACAAATAACGACTAAAACTGGGGTCATTTTAATCAAGTTCATGCAGAACACTTTTCTCTTCACCTCCTCCCCTCCCCCAAAACACTTCCAAATAGTTTGGAAACCAGCAAGAGGACTTTTGTTTATTGGTTTAAAGAGAACAAGATCTCGAATTCCGGTGATGATAACTCCAGCAGCATATGCCTCTATTTCCCACTAAGGAAAACAGAAATCTGATTGACGAGTACTACTGCAGAATTTGCTTCTGGAGCAGAATATCGCCTCCCTGCCTGTAGGGGCCTCAGCTCCTCTTCAAGGGATAAATAGCTTCCTGCCCGGTATCAGGGATGTCCCTCTCCGGGATCCAGCGCGAGGGTACGCGTGGGAAGCTTGTGCCGTTTCCCTCGTGAGTCCCTGCTGCCTCCCTGGAGCTGCCTCTTCTGGGAGGGCGTCTCTGCCCGCTGCTGGGGAGAAAGACTGAAGTGCGGGTGTGCCGTGGAAGGTGCTTATTTCCACTGGTTTTAGGCAGACAAATGGGGGAATAATCGCCTGTTTCCCACGGATGATTCATTTCTCTGGGCGAAGAAGGAGCTGTTGAGGATTTATTTGAAACAAACACAGGGCAGCCCTCGAGGCTTTCCCGGTGAGTTTATTATTTAGAACGGGGAGGGGGGACAAGTTTCATCAATCAGGTAAACGACTTTTCCCTGAGCCACTTGCTTCTTTTGAGTCTTGTCTCCAAAGGCTTGGTCCTGCGGAAAGGAGCCCTGGTGATGTAATGGTTAAGCACTCGGCTGCTAACCGAAAGGTCAGCGGTTCGAACTCACCAGCTTCTCTTCTAGGAGAAAGATGTGACACTCTGCTTCCGTAAACATCACAGTCTTGAGAAACCTATGGGGCAGTTCTACTCTGTCCTACAGGGTCACTGTAAGTTGAAATCGACTCCACCGCAACGAGTTTTGTTTTTTTGTTTTAGTTCTGCAGAAAGACTCACGGCCTTTTCCACTGGCCTGGCGTGGGCTTCATCCCTTTTCTAGAGCAAAGGCTTTACACAAGGGGACTCGTGGCTTTTAAGGTTGTGCTGCTGAGACAGGAATCCCTTGAGTTACCCTGAGCGGTCAATTTAAAGAGGCAGTGAGGTCTGCTCTCATGGGGACTGCACTAAAAGGAACTTCGAGCCCAGAGAACTCTACCTCGAATTTTCCAACAGAAACGAAAAAATGACACTGCTTCCAGCTTTGAGGAGATCCTCTAAATGGGCTGAGCTCTTCAATGCGTTACAAAAAGACAGAGAAAGAAGTTTTAAGAGCAGGACCAGAACCCAGGGAGGAAGGCAATATGGAGCCGGGTCGTCTGGAGTTTCTTGATTTACTGGGAAGAAACATTTCTACTCGCCTCTCCCGGAAGGGCTTGGCTGCGGTGCGCCGATTGGTCCGTTGGGGATGTGAGTCGCAGTCAGACTCTTCCTTCCATTGCATTTCCCCTTAAATTCTCGAATTACTGAGCCAGAAACAAGATTAAGTGGCCGCGGAAGGTGAGAATGGCTCTTCGCTGGATTTTTTAAATTGTAAATTTGCCACTTTGTCGAAAGTTGGCAAATTTAAAGTAACTTTTAACTCAAACTAAAAACGCGAGGATGCCCCTTTCATTCCAGATTAAATACTGCTTATGTTTAAAAGGACCGCGAAAGCTTCGTGGGCGCAGATATCTCGAGAAGTCCACCTAGGAGAGTCCTCATGCCTTCCCCTGCAAGTGACCGAACTTTAGGGGCGGAAGTGAGTCACATTTAGAAAGGGAGACCGAGGCCAGCGTTGACTGGCTCCACCAGATCTTCGTTCCTAGGGAGCTTTCCCTACCTCTGCTCTGGGGCCTGATTTTATATCCCGCAAAAGGGCAGGGAACACGCAGCCTGAGCTAGACCACCAAGCCCAAGGTTTCCTAGCTCCGACAGCAGGAGGCCTCGGGTCTCCGAAAACTTTCTTTCTCTCTCTCTCTTTTTTTCCTTCCCAGCTGCGGGACACGTTTCCTCGAGTCCAAGAGTTTGTTGCCTCCACTGATGTTGCTGTGTGCCATCTCGTCGAGATTCCGACTCACAGAGACCCTATAGGGCAGAGTAGAACTGCCTCATAGTGTTTCCTGGGCAGTAATCTTTACAGGAGCAGATCTCCGGGTCTTTCTCCAGGGGAGCGGCTGGTGGGCTCAAATCGCCGACGTTAATAAAGGTTAGCAGCCAAGCGCTTAACCACTTTCTCCACCAGGCCAGCTAAATCAGCCAGAGAGGTGGATCCCCTAAACCCGCACACAGCCAGCAAGACTTTACGCTTTCTCAGGTCCCTTTCTGGGACCTCGGGCGCCTCTCCCCCCATCCCTCCGCTGGGGCTCGGAGATGACCACTCCCAGGCAGGTATTAAGGATAGGCTCCCAATCGGGGCGCCCAGACTAGTGCGCTCCTGGCCCTCCCCGCCGACGCTCGCTAGCAGCCCTCCGTCGCCCGCGGGGGCCGGGGACAGGCCTCCGGGCCGGGGCACCGCGGAGCCTCCGAGATGCTGAAAACGCTTCAGGGACGCTCAGCTTCACTCCTCACGAGCTCTCCGGTGCTTACCCGGCCCCGGAAGGGCATCAGTCGCCGGCCCGCAGGGGCCCTCTCCCGGCCCCTCCGCTGCGCCCCCTCCACGCCTCCAAGCTATGCCACCGCCATCCCTCCCGGGCCCCCAGCCCCAGTCCTAGCCCGGAAAACACAGTTATGAAGAGGGGACATCAGCCGCTCGGGATTTGGGACTCTCCAACTAGCGTTGTTTAGGAAGGGCTATGAAAGGAGCAGCAGCTGGAGGACTCTGGAAAAAAATAGGCCAAGGAAGGAGCCCTTGGTGGAGGGAGCTGCACCTGCACATTTAGCTAGTCTCTAGAAGCATTTGCGGGAGATCGACTGCCCTTTCTCCCTCCACCCCCACCCCTGCAAAGTCTTGGAGCCTCTGTGTACCTATTGTGTACCCATTTCCCTTACAAGCAGCAGAGAGAAGTCAAACTCCGAGGGCTTGTTCTTGCCAAGTCGCTTCTTAGCGGATGTCCATTTCCACGTAATCTTCCCTGGGACACTAAGGTCGCGGCGCTGCGAGGGCCCAAGGGGGTAGGGTGCGCTTGCCGGGTCCCTGCAATTCCTGCCAGGGCTTTCTGGGACCCGCACGCCTCGCGGCCCGCCAGGTGGATGCGTGGCCCTATGGCTCTCCTTCTCCTCCACCTTGGCGGAGGGGAGCCTACAGCCACGCCAGGTTCCGTGCGCACGCGGGTAGAAACGGGCCCCGCGCCCGGGTTGGGGGTCCCCGGGCAGGGGCTGCGCGGGGTGGGAGCGTCGGTCTGGGCTCAGCGGCCCCGGTACCCGGAGGAGCGGGAGGCACTGACAACGAAAGACGGGCACGAGAGGCTAGGAGCTAGGAGGCCACCCCTGCCTATGCACACACCTGCGGAACTCCTAGGCGTTTCTGAAAACCCGGAGGCTAGAAACAACAACGACGACCTCAGCCCAAACTTCGGCGGAGCGTTCCCAGCGGGCCCACGCTCAGCCTGGGGCTGACCCTCTCAGCAGTGTGGAAATTTGGTTAGAAGTTCCGATCCGGGGCTGCCTTCCCCAGCCACGTTGCTACGCTGGGGACCTCACGGAGGACACTACCGTCCCCAGCCTCGCTCTCCGCGGCCCACCAAGGCCTCAGTCCTGGCTTTGCTCCCAGCCCCGGCCATGCCCGCGGCTTCGGCGCCAAAGTGACGCCTCTGCTCCGGTAGGCGGGCACTAGGAAAAGAAAGTTCCACAAGCGTCGGGAGTGAGCCGCGAGGCTAGGGCCTGCTCAGGCTGAGGCTCCAGGGAGAGGAAGCGCGCACAGATTTGGGTTCTAACCGCTGGGGCCTTGATTTTGCTGCAGTGGCCAGGGGTTCTAGTGGAAACGGAGTGGTTGAGTTTCTCGCACCCAGCAGGGCAGGGTCAGGGCCCAAGGTCTGTGAAGCAGCTTGGGATAGCTGAGCCTGAAAATTTTGGGTTCCGTCCCTCCCTGACTTGAGCTGGGCCTCTGCTCTCCCTCGTGGTATGCTGCTAGTACCTTGGAGAGGGCAGGAACCGGGCCTGATTCTGGGAGCCCAACAGTTTACACGCAAGATGACGCTCAAGCACCTCACCTCCCTTGGGCCTGAAACTGAGTATTGAGAGGCTCCCTTCTCTGCGCGCCGCCAGTCGAGCTGCAGAGAACGCATTTCTGCCACAGGCAGAATCCTTAACTTCCCCGGAGGATGTAGAGGCTGGACCAGGCACGTTTAAT